TTTATTATTATTGTCGTGGCTGGTTGCCTTAATGTCAGTCCAAGAGCGCACGAGCGTGCATTCATCAATAATAGAGTATCAACAGCGGCGGCAAATATATACATGCAGCACAAAAACACAAGAAGTTTCTTTGCCGAGCACACGGTTCAAGGTTTATTCTCGGGCGCGCTTTAAATTTTCAACACCCGTCCTCCGAGTTGGTGCCACTCACCCCCGGCTTGCAAGTCTCAGATGGTGCGGTTCGCAATTGCAGCTGCGTGTGTTTCGCGCCCCGTGTGCCTCTAATTAAATTAAACTTGCACGAAGGGAACGCAGATTTGAAAGTTAATTTTTCATGCGCAGCCCGCTGCTCCTTTGTGAGCCTGTTTTGGAAAAATTCAACCGGCCTTTTCTACAGCTAAAATTTTATTTATAATTTAGTATAGATCTATATTACCTACAATCTAAATGAAGCAAAAACTTATATGTAATTTAAAATTATATGTTTAAATAAAAAACATTATTTAGCAAAAAAATATTACTAAAAATGCAACTTTTTTTATAATATCATTTAAAATTTTATTAAACAACATTAAAAAGTATTTTTAATTTTTTTATTATTTTATTTTTAATGTAAATAACTAAAAATTTAATTGTTTAAGAAGGTAGCAATTAATATTGATTTGCCAAATATCATAATTTTTACATATAAAAAACTTGACCAACAATACATTTGAAAAGGATAACAACTTCAATTAATTTTGGTCTTTTGGTAGTGGTAAATATTGTTTTATCAAATTAAATTATCCTTAACAGAAAAGAAGAATAGCAAAAAAAAAAAAAATCATATGAAATGGGTTACTCTACACCGCTCTACACGAGTCAAATCCCTCGATATCTATTCAACAATCAAGAAGTTGTGATTTACTTCTTATAAATAAGAAATTTATATATTTACATTTTGTAGTTGTGCTTTAATAAGTATGTATGTTGAATACTCATTGAGTGTATAAACTTATATTTATATATAAACTTATATTATAAACTTCAATTTGAAACAAATATCTTAAAGTTTCTGGATCTAGCTATTGATGATTTAGAAACGATGTTACACAAAATTAAGTTTTTCAATAAAAAAAGAGAAACAAATTATCCTATACTTCATTTTTTTTTTACCAATTCTTAAAATATCTTATGTTCAATATAAAAATTTGAAATCAGAAAATCGGGTTCATTGTTTTTGTTTTCAATTGTTGTTCTTAAATTTTAAATTTTTGATAATTACCACCAACTTCTATGCACAGAAAATAAACGTTCAAATTGGCAAGAAACTTGTTAACGCGATTATTAAAACTTATTGTCGGCACGCTCTATTAATCCATGGAAAGGTTTTGCACGGAAACTCTTTCATGTACTCACGGTAATTTGTAAATTACTAGCTCGCTTTAGAACACATACATGCTGTGTGTATACCACATTAAAACTCTTATCTTAATTAAATCGCTATTAAAGTTGCTGCCGGGTTGAATTAATAAAAAAGTGCCGTGTCTTTCTCTCTCTCTCTCTCTCTCTCTGCCCGGGATGGGAACTTGTTATTTTTCCGCATAAAAGTCTCAACTTTGCACACAGACTCGTTCTGCGAGACTAATTGCGCTCTTTGTTAATGAAGACCCTTCCTTTATGTAAAATCTTTGAAATGCTCACACAGCAGAGAGAGAGCCCGTCCCGCAAAACGCGCGGCCTCTTTCATTATACCGCAACCCTTGAGAACTTTTTTTTCGCAATTCAGAAACAACTTTCTAATTATTTCCATTTTTTATACGAGCTCTCTAGCACCCTCGACCGTGTTTCATTTTCTGCGGATTTATTGCGGCATTGGCGGGTTGAAGGGTCATTTTTATTGATCTGCATATATAAAAAAAAATCTAGCTCTGCCAGCTCTGGTATGAAAAGAGCAGAATTGTACATTGAATTTTTTTCAGCTGACCGAAGCAGACGGAACGTTTTTTCGACCTTACTTGAGCCTCTCTTTTTTAATATTAATAGCAAACGAGGCAAGTTTTAATAAAAATGCAAAAGATGGCCAACTTTTTTTCCTCCCTTTTTCTCCTCTCACAGCCATTGTAAAATTTTTAAACTGCTCTCTGCATGCACCGCCGGCTCGCAATACTCTCTCTCTCTCTTCTTTAATCTGCCTCCATTGGCATGAATATTAAAACCCTCTAGTGAGAGCTAGCGACACACATTTTTGCGTCGGCACAAACACACAATGCTTTCTGCGCTGTGAAACCCCTTTGGCGAGAGAGAGCGAAATCAGAAAGCAGCCTGTTTTGTTTATTCAGCGCGTCATTGTGTTTTCAAAGACTGCAGCAACAAAAAGCCTAAAATATTGCAGCAGCGCCCGACTCTACACACACACATTACGCAAGCGTCTCTTCTCTCCTAGGGGGAGCAGACGAAATGTATGGACCGAATAAAAAAAGTTGGGGGCCATGCGAGGATATAATCCTTAATTGAATTTATTAGCATTCAATCTTCGGGATTCCAATTGGATTAAAACAAAAAGGATTAGTTTAATTTAAAAAACACAACAAGCCTTTAGAAAATGAAATAATTAATTTGTTTAAATTAATAATAAGATTCAACAGTGAAATAGACTTGATAATTGATTATAATATCAATAAAAGAATGTTCAATTGATAAAATTTAGAACCCTCTGTGGTATGTTATGATAACTCTTTAGGAATTTTTGCAAGATCTTTACCTCCCCAAAATTTATTTATATCTAATTTGCAATATTTGCAACAACTTTAGATATATAAACAAAACCTAAAAAATACAGCTTAAACAAATTTTTTTAATATATAAATACTAAAATTTAATAAAAGTTTATGTCAATATATTATATATACTTAAAAAATATTTAGTTATTTATCTTTTTGTTCAAATTTTTGATGCTACAAAAAAATATTTGTTAAATTTGTTATATACTTTGTAAGAAATTATTATGTTACAAGGAATTTAAAACATTTTTAAACTTTAAAACCGTAATTTAGTGGGAATGAAGCTCTTTGATAAATTTCTCTGTGTTGGCAAGGTTGTAAGTTTTAATATCTATGATCGCAATAAAGCAAAAATTTTCTCGGACTTGCATAAAGCCCTTTTTGTGTAAAAAGTGAGCCCCGCGCTCTACTCTGATCAGCCAATTACGTGTGCTTAATCCAATTTGCGCTTTGTGTGTGCTTTGCTTTTCTTTCACTTTGATGCCTCCGCTCTTTCTAGTCCCTTTTTGCACTTTCAAAGCCGGATAGCGAGGTCCTGGGGTCAGGAAAAACAACAACTGACACCCTTTGTAGCCGTGCGCGCTATTAATAGGGTTGAAAAATGCCCGGCCTTTCTCATTATAATCAGCTGTTCGCAAAGGCAGCGTGGCTCGGATTTCCACAGCTGTCTGCAAATCCCGTCAAGCAGGAAAATTGCGTTTTCCGGCGGGGAAAGGACGATCGTTACATCCATCAAGGTTGCTGAACTAGATGCAAAAATTGACTTTGTAATCTCACCGGGCAAGGAAACTCTGTGTATTATTGTGTGGGCAATGCACTCGTCCGAGCCGCACATTCCCCGGCTATCTGCGCATGAATAATTAATGCAAATCCATAAAATCCAAAGACCAGAGTTCACGGCGCGAATCTATATTTGCTCTTTTTTCAGCCTCGCTACTGCCTCCGTTTCACATCAAAAGAAAGAGTCTCGTGTGTCTTTCTCCTTTTCGTTGCAAACACAAAGATCTTTTATAAAGGGCGATCTGGTACTCAACTCGAGATAAACTGCTGAACACACATTTTGCACGATTGCATTGTTTTCGGGACACTGTCAAAAAGGGTCTGTCCTCTCAAAGTGAAGAGTGGGCGTCTTTGAGTAAAATTTACATAGGGAAAATTTGGTTAAAATTGCAATTTGGGTTCAAATTTTGAAAACAGTGTCTTGCCTTTTCTTCTATTTTTAATAAATTCCCATATCATAAATGGGATTTTTCATTTGAGTGCATTTAATATTTTTTTGGTACATTAATTTGAAGAATATTGCATTAAAAATTATTGTTCTTCATGACTTAAATCAGTCCAGAGAAGAGAGGCAAATAACAACATAAAAAATTCATAAATTTGTAGCAAATGAACTGGGAATTTCCAAGAAATTTTTCCACTGACATTTCAATTTTTGAAAACTAGTTCCATCAAATTTTATAAGACCAAAATCCAAATTTTGGAATGGGACTAAAAGACCATAACAGTAAATTGATTTTGGCAATTCCATCCAGCCTAGCTGATTATTACGCTTAAAAGAAAACATGACTGAAATTTTCATAGCTTTCTTTGTTCTGCTAGAATAATTTGCACAATGTTTTTTACACATTTTTTAAATCATTCCTAACATTTAAAGTATGACAAAAAATTGTACACCTCAATTTTGTTAAATTTGATATGTCTTAAATTTTGTTCAGGTTTTTATGCATTTAATGAATCAAATGTACAAATGTAATCAGTATTCTATGCCCTTTTTCAGTGGAATTAATTACTTATAATAAAGTGATTTAGTGATGAGTGAAGCGTTTTTAAATTACATTTCAACAAAATTCCGGTTGTTATTTTTGAAATGTAGAAGCACGAAAAATTAATATATAATGTAACAATACAAAAGTATTACTTAATTATTGCAAGAAAGCTATAAATATTTATATTTATTTATTAAAATAAATAAAAAATAAGTAATTTTTTAAATTAAAATATTTCAAAATTAATAATTTTTTGAAGTTAATTATAAACTATTGTAATTTTATAAAGCTATAATAAATATAAAGCTAATAATTTTATAATTAAAAGTTTCTTTTAATTAAAACATTTGTGTGTTTTAAATCACTTTCAAATTCGAGATGATATAAAAAATTTGAGCATTGGTGTATTTTGTGACGTTTCCAGGGCTACGCAGTATATTCCCATATCCCCGAGCCAAGATCGACTCACCTGTTCGCCTACGTGGTGAGAGAGCGTTGGGGAGGACACCGGTGCGCGAGAGCACAAATCAAATCACACTGGCGAAAAAGCACGCAACGCCGGCTGATCTCTCTGTCTGTCTGACTGGACCGAGAATTCACAACGAGAGTAATTTTTGTTTGGCGGCACAGCAGCGACTGACACGTCGTCGCACCACTACCTGGCCGACCAGAAGAGAAGTCATGTCGCGCGCACGGGCCACGCAAGAGGGCGGGGGTGGTCTACGTCATGGTCACTCTCGGCGCCGAAGAATCGCAGCAGTGCTCGGCCAGCGGCGGCTCCGACACAAATGAAGCAAGGCTGGCCATAACCACACGGAAGCTCGTGTGCCGTAACCTATAATACATGCGCCTTGACGTCGGTCTCTGGCTGCCCCTCTAGCTCCTCGCTCGCTGCGCCGCCGAGCCGCAGCGCTCGATAAATTGATAAACACACGCCCGCCACCCCATCCATCTGCTATCAATGCCTCCAAGGGCGCTTCCTGTCACCCCCGACGTCTCCAATTAGTAATCTCGGGCCTAGCCTGCTTATGCCTAGTCCAAGGCCCTTCTTCTCCGTTCTCCGTCTCTTCCTAATATTGCACCCCCCACCCCTCTTTCTTTCTTTCTTTCTTTTGTCGCCACTCTCAATTAGAGGCTTATCTCATCCACCTGTTTTATGGCCGAAAGTCACCTAATTTCGCCGGTGTCCTCCCTCCCGAGTGTGGATACAATATAGGGCCGCGCTGAGAGCTTTATTGTAGGTCAGCCAGCTGGTCCGTAGCACCGGAAAGTGGGACTCGTCTCGAAACACAACAATACCACACCGCCGGGGTGTTTGTTAAACAAAGTCCACTGCATTCTAGTTCAGTTGAAATGAAACTCCCTGACATAGTAATGGCATTCAAATCAAATAAAGAATATATAAATTCAAACTTCTTTTCTCGTTTGATAAGAATAGAATAGGTGTTTTGAGTTTTTTCTCTCTGGTGCTAGTTTTTGTATTGTAATTTTATTACTTGTTTCACATGAAATTTGATTATATGCCGTTTACCGTTTCTCCCTTTAAAATTTAGGGTGATCGTGCCCTTATTTTAGATGTTTATTCCATTCTAAAGAAAAAAAAATTAAAATTCGAATATGGTTCCAGGTTTTGATAATATTGTTCTTCTGATATGGTCATTTTTTGTTAAAGCTTAATTACTACTGTATAATTAATTCTAATAATCATTTTTTTTTTCAAAATTTAAAAATTATCTAGAGAGCATATTTTATTCTCTAGAATTTAGCTTTTTCTTTTCATTTTGACTTTTATAATTTGTAAAGATATTAGATTTTATAAATAAAGCAAAATAAAGTACATTTTAATTAAAATTGATCAATTAAAAAGTAATGCTGTAGGTTTTATTATTATTTAATACATTTTCTTATATTATATTATATTAAAAAATATTTTTTTTAATTTTTATGGTATATTAAATTTTTAATTCAAAACATTGTTTAAAATTAATTGACAATAATATATTATTATTCATATTATAATCAGTTGCCCTCTTCCAAAACAATTAAATTACATCAAGAAATGCAAATACGATAGTGATTCTGGCTGTGTTAAGGAAGACTATATTATGAAACTATTTGATTTAACTTGACGCAACCCTTTTTAGTAACATAATAGAAATGTGCTTTTTTTAATTTTATCTTTTTAGTTTGAAGGTTACAAATCCATATTAAATATTTATAATTCCTGCAGCGTATTTCAAAAAATAAAAAAATATGCTGCCTATGTTGTTTAAATATAAAATTAAAGTACGAAGCGTGCAATTATAGAAGTTATTGAAACGATATTTTCTCATTCAGCACCTTTGTGTGAATTCAGTTCATTCATACTCTCTCTTCTCTGTAAAGGATTTTGAGCTAAGAGCACTGGTGCAGCAACAGAGTCAATATAAATTCTTTTGACCCGCATTGAAATTGAATAATTTGCGTCTGTTATATTTCTAAAGCACTTTTACAAAAAAAAAAAATGTAACATGCATAAAATGTTTTAATTCCACTAATGCATTCTCCGCTGTGCAAATTCATTTCAACTTGCAATCAGATTTCGCCTGAAGAGTCAAAGGAGGGTTTTTTCAAGCACCCTCAGCCGACTGTTGATGTGATATTTGCCGGTCGCTGCAAATTTCAAAAGAAAACAGTCCCGTCAGCCGTTTAACGTGCACACATACACAAACCACGCGCCTCGCTCCTCATTAAATTTCTTTATTAATGGCAGAGCCGACAGCAGCCAGGGGCGTATTTTAAAAGAAAATTGCTCCCAGCATGATGCCTTTGGGATTAAACCTTTTCCATAGAAAATAAGGGGCCTTTTTCCGCTAAATTCCAAACCTAATTAATTATAAAATGTTGCCAAGCAATTAACACGAGTTAGTTTTTAATTTAAAGGATGCAAAATCTAATTAGCAAAAAAAAATCTAATTGTGACATAAGGGCATAGCAGTGAATATTAAGTTTTTTATTTAAATTCTTCTCCAGTGAAATAAAATTTATTGTTTTTTATATCATTCTAATTTGAATTTGTGACACAGGTTTTATTGAATGTATTTTTGATTATGTCAGAAAAAAACAAACAAGTATTGAAAAGTCCTCAAAAAAAAAATTTAAATAGAAATTGTTAAACCATTAAATAAATTTTTTTTGATAAAATAAATAAATAAATAAATGGGGATAATTTTAATTGTTAATTAATTTGTTAAAAACAGGACGTAGATCGCAGTACCCCATTAATTAAATTAAATTGCGTCTGAATGAAATTTTGAAAGATTTTAGAGGTAAAAAGTCGATCAGACATTTCCTTTTCTTGCACTCAAATTTTCATCTTCATTTGTAAAGCTCTATTTCCGTTTCAATCTCTTTTAGCAACAGTATAAAAATTACATTTCAATAGGTAAACACGAATGTTGAACCAATTTGGCCGTCTTCCATATTATCTCTGTTGAATATCCGAACCCTTTCATTTTCTTTCTTTCAGTGGAAGAAGAATTCGCCCTTGAGATTATCGTAGCGGAACTCTTCCTTCTTTCAGAGACATACATCATGTTGGCCACTAAATATTGCACGTCGAGGCGAGAGTTCTGGTGTATGTTTTGTCTTATTAATTGCTACCATCAGCCCAGCGCGCTTTTGGCTCGCCTCCAGAAATTGAAGTGCTTCTAGCCGCGCGCGGTACACAACCAGTGTTTTGCCATTGTTGCCGCGCGCAAATCAATTCTGTTTGAACAAGAACCGTATTTTAGTAGTGCTACTTGTTCTACGCAGTGTTTAATCAGTCGGAGCAAATTGCGTCTGAAATTGTCTGTCGAACAACGTGAATGCATGTTTTCCGTGTTCAAATAACGACCCTGCTGATTGTGGCAAACATTGCTGGGTTGATTTGAAAAATTTATTTAAATATTTTTATTTTGTTAAATATCTTATTTCGAAAATTGAATTATTGTATAAATATGATCTAAAAATATCTGTTAAAGTAATAAGTACTTTTCTAGTAATTAAGTAATTATCAATGAATTAAAACTTCTAATTTGTCTTTTAAATTCTGAACTTGTCCGTACTGGTATTTTTCAATATCGTGTTCTAAAGTTGAAATTATAACAACTTCCCTGACCATTCCATTTGCAAAAATTGATACTTGTAGACTGGGCTGATTTGTCTCAAACTTAAAGTTAAAATTACTTGATTTCAGTGGCGATTATTCATTTAATTAATTTTTATTTTTGAGCAATTTTCTAAAAAAAAATTATGAAAAAAGATGAAGCTTCGCGATGTAATAATTGTTTCAAGTATTTAACTTTTATATTCCTCCAGCGATTTCAATGGAAAAAAAATTCTGCTTTTGTGTGTAATTTAATCACTTTTTGGGTGGATTCTGATAAACGGATAATCGATGATCTTTTTAGCAACAGGCGAAGCTTTGCAGATTGTTTTTTGACAAAAGGGAAAAAGGAGACAAATTGTTTTGCAGTTGAGCGAATCTCATTTTTCAAAGCTTCGTCGGCAGTGTTGTTTGTGTCGCGCTCGCATCAATTTTCCTCCCTTTTTCACTCGTTCTCCGGCGCGGCGTGCAGTTAATTTGTGATTGGTGTCGAAGCTCCGTGCAGACTTCTTGAGTTTCGCCCCAAATCCGGGGTGTCATTTATCACGGGGTGTGATTGATGGCGGCTTCAAAAAATATTTTTAGCCGGTCGAGAGTGATGGTTGTGCGTAGTCGGCGTGGCAGGCCAAGTAATAATGGATTCGCTCTCGTGCACTCTCAATGGCAATGCAGCCGGAAAAAATATGCAAAACGCGTTTTTCCACCATCATTATTTTGTATGTGAGTATTTCGAGTTGTTTGCGCGGCATTTGCAGCGCATTTCCATTCGCGAGAAAGACGTCTAATATTTATACCAAAGTGCTGCTCGACGACGAGCACAATCTCCGCATGACGTCCTATGCATAATTTATCCGCCGGATATTCAAATTTCGTTCTCGTCGTTTGATATTTAGGAAATAATATCTCACAGAGGGGAACGACCCAAATTTTTGACAACAAATTTTGATTTAAATGAGTGTTATAATTTGCAGCAAAACTCCGTGTTCGGTACTTGCAATGGTATTTTAATTTATTAAAACTTATGCAACCTGCGAAACATTGAGAAGAACTAATTACAAGTGGAAGCCATTCTGATAATAGATCTCAATTATTTTTATTTATTAATTTGATATAAACTTCATTCAGGTCTTTTTAAGCTTTGATTTTTCTCAATAGATAATAATTTTTTAGGGATGTTTACAAAGAGTCAGATTATTCTGAAACAAAATAATTGAAATTAATATTTGACTTACAAAAAGAGTCTTCAATAGTCGGCTATTTTGGTCGAGACCAATAATTTTTTTAACATAATAATTTCATGCTAGCTATTACATTCGGATGCAAATTTCTAAATTCTGCATGAAATTTGACATATTTTCACAAAAATATGACTCGAATTAAGAGTAAGAAAAATCACAAAATTATAGCTTTCGTTTTATAATTTTAAATGTTCCAGTAGAATAACAAAATTAAACAATATTAAATAGGAAATAATGGACTTTTATTTTAAATGAATTATCATTATTTAAAATATTCATAAACTGGATGAATTTTAGAATTTCGCAAAATTTTATTGCTGGTTTGAGTTCAACGGAATTTTTAATACTTTAGCGCACTTTAGAGGTTCCCTTTGCCCTTTTTTAAGTTATCGGCAACAAAGACTCGTTA